TATATATATATATATATATATATATATATATATATATGCTCTAGTTTATGAATAACGAAAAATATCTACACGATAATTTAAAAATATATCAATTTTTTCCCCTAACTTTAAATATAAGTTATTTGACTATAGTTATTTTCTTCATTCTTATTTACATATCATCCTCACGACTAGCATATTTAAATACGAGTTATTATAGGCATGGTCCAAGTTACTCCATATTCATCCCCATCCTGACACCAACAGAAATAACTAATTTTTTAACTTTCTTTTATTATACGATTTGATATTCAAAATTCACTTGCTCGATTGATCAATAAAAATTCCTAACAAAAGTTAAAATCATGCCACAATATATATATATATATAGATCCATATAACAGAGAAGTTATTCTCCTAGCAGTGTTGATCAAAGATAACATGTAGAGTTCAATTTCTTATAGTTTAGAATATGCACATTGATACAACTTGAGATCATTTGTAATCCTTAATCGACTTTGATCTGATTCCACTCGTATAATTTTAATGAAATAATTTAGATACACGTCAATAAATCGAAACACCATAGGGACAACATGGTTAGCCAAGTGACATGGGAGGAGGGAAATAAAAATTGAAATGTTTCCAATTAATAGAGCAGTGTGTCTAATGAAGTAGGGTGGATTAGGGTACAAGCCTGATACACCAATGCCCAATTGTTTTAATTTGTTTATTCAACAAATAATAAAATAAATAAATAATAATAATTAATTTCTTTAATTTGCACAATGCTCAATGAGTATTAATTAGTACTACTCCATCTGAATTTTTCACATATATTTGCCCATACAATGTGTGGTATTTTTATTTTTATATATATATATATTGTAACTTGTGAATGGTAGTAAGCATGCTAGTAATTGAATTTTTTTTTTTAAAATTGTTTAGTCCAAGATAGAAAAAAAAATAATTAAAAGAGAAAATAATTGTTTTGTAATGTCCATTTAGAACCTTTTTGCAGTTGAAAAGGTGTTAATCTTTTTCAAAGTTGCAGGAGAAAAAGGCAAAAATAAAAGATAAAAACTAGATTAAGAAAAGTTTTAATATAGTACTGTTTATTTCAGAAAAGGTAGAATATTCTATTTGTATTATGCTTATGGGGGTTCATGTTGTTTATTTATTTATTTATTTTTCTTATAAGTGATGAATTTCTTTTAATTTATTTTCATCAATTTGAGGTTCTTTTTGTTTCTATTTTTGAGGATGGAATCTCCAAGAATATAGGAAAATGAGTGGAAAGATGGATTATTCCATTCTTCATAAGAAAAATGTAAAATTATGTATCATTAATTAGTTATTCGCTCATTAAGAGAATTCAAAATTTTATATGTTTATATAGACAATATAAATTTTCAATAAAAAATATTCTGTTGATCACACTAATGTTTTCATATTCAAGTTAATATAGATTTCGGGTTCGAACCTCTAGAAATCTTGTTAGGAGCATACTCCTTATGTACGAGCTATGTGATAAGTGAATTTGAATTTAGTTGAACTTTTAATACAAATACCAAATATACGAAGAGAAAATAATTTTTAGAAAACTCTTCAAATACTCAAAAAAGTGGATCAACAATATATTATATTAATAGGTTCAAGTGAATTCAACAAACTTTTGTTCAGATTCTATACAAATGTATAGGAAAGAATTATATTTATAAATTTCTTTTTTATGATTACTATGTATGAACTTCAATTATTATAATTACTATATACTAACTTAAATTATTATACAAACCTATAAAATTCTAAACTTTTAAAAAAAGATGGATGTAAAGATTTGGAAAAAGTTGATGTGGAATGAACATCATGGATGAGGAGAGAAGGTATGGCCCTAACTAAAAGGAAGTAAGAAAACACCAAGTACCAAACTATTGCTATCTTACCAATAATTCTACAAATGAAATTATTATTCTCTTGATTTATTTGTCAAATTTTAACATGACACGTTAATTAAGAAAATAATAATTGATATATCAAATTTACCATTTTATCCTTTTTATAAAATATGTATTAATTATGGAGAGTTCAGTTATTCACGTATTAATTATTCAAGTTTCTAGATAGCAAACCGAATAATTTACTTTCTAACCAGCTATCAAACATGATATTACTTATATAAAATTTAATATTTATCTAACTCACCTCCAAACCAGCTTCCCCGTAGCTTACATAACTAAACATTCAATATCCCATCTCCACTCCATAGCTAGTTTTAGTCCTAGTATTATTACAAATAAACAAAAAATTATTGTATTCGTCGAAAATCGTTTGTAATATTGTAACTTCACCCCTAGACTCCACGTGAAAACGTGAATTCAAATTAATCGAGAAAACTGAATTAAGGTGGTCCACACGTGCCTAGAGAGCACAAAGCACAAGCGTGCTAAGTGATAGTCACGTGCCATACTCCCAATACATGTATAGAAAAAAATTACATATGGTATTTGAGCAATGAAGATTTTTTCTTTTTTAAAATTAATAATTTAGCAATTTTTTTTTATTAATATTTTTGTTTTAGTGTGGTCAAGCTAAAGGGTGTATAGGTATTATTCATTATTATTATTATTCTATGTCACACGTATATATTTGGCCCTCTATATATATATTGCTCTCTCAGAGTGAGTAATTTGTAAGCATAGAGCTAAAAAGTTTGTAACTTTGAGTTTTGTTTTTCAAGGGGTTTGGAAAAAAAAAGGGGGGGTCTTTTTGAATTGAAAAAAGTTGAGAACTTTGTAAGAAAAAATGGAGATGGAGAGTGATGTGATGGTGTCAAAATTCAAGAGGATTTGTGTGTTTTGTGGGAGTAGTCAAGGGAAGAAGAGTAGCTATCAAGATGCTGCTATTGAGCTAGGAAAAGAGTTGGTATTTCTTTTTTCTTAACTAAAAAATGGAACTTCCCATTTTGTTTTCTTGATTTTTAGCTTTGGTTTCTTGGAATACTAGGATGTTATTGTTTCTGAGTTCTGCCCCTTTTTATTTGGGTTTTTGGGAAAAATGTTCTTTTTTTTTGGTTTTTGCTTATTTGGGGGTTAGTGTTTGTACATTCTTGGTATGTAAAAATGGGATCTTTACATGAATTTAATGCAAGTTTTAAAGAATGTAGTTGGATTTTAGGGTATTTGTGTCCAAATTTTTTCATGCAAAATGTGATGTTTCTTTGAGTTTTTGTTCCAATAGGAAGTCCTGCATGCAACTCTGTTATCTCTGTAGTTAGTGTGTTTGTAGTCATGTTCTCTGTTTGTGAAATCAATGTTTCCTGTTATTTTCATATACAGGGGTTCTGCATCTATTTTACCACCACCCCACCCCCTCTTGTATTCCCTTATTGAACAAACTCTTGCACTTATGCCTCATCATCATCTTGATATATGCTAACTAACAAGTATATCTGGTTTTTGGGGCATGTTGAATGTACTAAAAGTCTCTTGTTTCTTCATACTGAAGGTCTCAAGGAACATTGATTTGGTCTATGGAGGAGGTAGCATAGGCCTAATGGGATTGGTTTCACAAGCTGTTCATGATGGTGGTAGGCATGTTATTGGGTGAGAAAAAAAGAAGATACCTTTCTATGCTCTAATCACTCTACTCTTAAATTAATGATTAAATATTAGTACTTTTTTAACATGAGGAATTCAGTTAATCATCTTAATTATTACTAACTCCTACTCTTATGTTTTGTCATGTTATTGTCTGGCTGCAGAGTCATTCCCAAGACACTCATGCCTAGAGAGGTATGTCTGTTGTTTTCTTGAAAAGTCTTAAGCCTTTCTTGATTTATATTATATTACTTAAAAAAAAATAAGAACCTTCAATAGTATATTCTCATGTGTTTATGAGTTGAGACTTTGAGTTAGTTTCTTGTTAACACTAGTTTTGTCATAAATATTGATGTTTGTGCTTTCATTTTCTTCTAATTGTTTTTCTGGGGTTCTGAAGGAACTGTTTCTTTCTTTGGTCCTTATTGACCTTATCCATATATCCTCATAGTAGTACTTTGGCATCTGGTTTTTTGTTTGATTTTCCCTTTTATGTGTAGCATGCTTTATTCACTCTGTTGCTGCTGTTTAGTTCTTGTATTTTTCTCTCTTGGCTGTTAGTGAACATTTGTTCGGGCTCTTCAAAAGTAGTGCATTTTTGGAGTTATCCTACACGGGTGCGGCAATAATTTTGGAGAGTCGGAGCAACTTAGGTTACATGTACATGTATATAGACTAGTGTTTAGTTTTGTTTGTGTGTATATGTTTGGTGACTTTTCTACTATTTCAAAATGAGGATTTTAGGGTGGATTTAACTCTCTCTGAAATACTCATCATTGCTTCACTGCATTAATAAGGCCACTACACTCCATCAAGAACCTGTTTCCTATCTGACCCTTTTACCCCCACCACTCCTTTTTTTTCTTCATTTCTCCCAAGAAGAGGAGCACATATTTCAAGAAGTTCAAAAAAAAATGAATTCATATTTTATCCTGTTTGCACAGTTAACTGGTGAAACAGTAGGGGAAGTGAAGGCAGTTGCAGGTATGCATCAAAGGAAAGCAGAAATGGCTAGGCACTCTGATGCTTTTATTGCCTTACCAGGTTGGTATAAATACTGTCACTGCAAGTCCAAATATCACCCTTTGCACTCAAATTCACAGGCAAAATGCTTATAGAAAAAGGACTTCAGATGCTTTTAGTTTGCTAATTTGAGCATAGATTCACCATTTATCTTGTCTGTTTTGTTCATTTGTGAGTTAATGTAGTCATGTTTAAGCTTAATGTTCCTCACATTCCCACAATAACTTTTAAGAGAAGTAACATTAATAAGGAGTTTAACAAAGTAAAAAAAACTTTTGAATCTTGTGGCTTAAACATGTCACGCGGAAAATTAGAATTATAGTCTTGTCTAAAAGACTAAAAAGAAAAAAAAGACATTCTTTTTTAAACAAACAAATTAAAACGGAGAAAGCATCATTTTTGAGAGTTTTCAAGATTTCTATGGATAGAAGTCCCAAGACAAGTTATAGGTTTGCTCTTTCTAGAAGTGGAACTAGGATTTTAAGCGTATGGGTTAAAGAAACTGTTTCCTGCTTTGCAAATGAGGGACAATGTTGCTTGGAGTCTCCATAAATTTGCTGCACTTTGGAGAATCAAACACACCTCTCTTGACATTTTTGAAGAGTCCGAGCAATATAGGAAATGTTATATTCAATAAGGCAAAGGATAAAGTGTAATACAGAAGAATGTGAAATGCTGAAAGCTACAATATGAAAAGATAAAAAGGAACAGTTGGATTACAAGCTCTTTGGTCCTTTGAAGTTTTTCACAATCCCCAAAGACTCATGATTAGAGAAGACTATAGTTCAACCCCCTACTTGTTGACCAATCAACATCTTGCACTGAAAATTAAGACCTGTTTTTTCACTGCTTAAAATATTACTTAATAAACTGGTTCTGTGATTTATTCTTTTCCTCAAATGTTCACTGTCCTTCTGCAAGAATCTTCCTCCATCTCACTGAGAGAGAAGAAAGGAGAAAACTGTCATACTTTCACAAAATTGTAAATGCCAACTAACTGTTGTACCTAACAAGGAATCATGCTCACTCTATTCAAGGAATTCTAATTGTCCAAAATATTCAACTAGTCATTTACTTGTTCTGGCTGCAATGTACACATAGCTTTCAAAACCAAATTAAAAATATTTTTTTCAGTGGCATTATAGCCTGAGAACTTAGCAGAGGATCAAGCCACCCTATTTGCTGAAAGATGAGGCCAAAAATAAATGCCAAATTCTTGATAGTAGGCTGGGCACAACTGGTTTTCTGCTCTACTGTTCAGGCAACAGAGTCAGTTTGAGATAGTTGACTATTTACGTATGTTTAAGACCTCAAGATTCTTAAACTCTGTTCCTAGTCAAAACCAACAAACAAATTGAAACGGAGGGGTGACATATAAAAGATACTAGTTTTCTTTCACCTCCTTTTGCTATTTGATTCAATCAAATTAAAGTTTGGCATTTACTTGGAATTAGATTGTTTCAGAATTCAAACAGTGAATAAACTTTTCATTGCATCCAGGTGGTTATGGCACACTTGAGGAGCTACTTGAAGTAATTACCTGGGCGCAACTTGGCATCCACGATAAGCCGGTATATATATATATATATATATAATAATACGTACAGCTTTTTTGTTCGATTACGTTGTAGGTTACAAATGCAGAACTAAAAGCTATATGCATTGTACAATTTTGCAGGTAGGATTGCTGAATGTGGATGGATATTACAATTCACTATTGTCATTTATTGACAAAGCTGTGGAGGAAGGTTTCATCAGTCCCAATGCTCGTCAAATCATCGTATCTGCACCAACAGCAACCGAGCTGGTTGAGAAACTGGAGGTAACATCTTACAAGAGACAACCACAATGGTCATTCTTGATGACAGTTTTTTCTATCTCCTGAACTGTTATATCTAACTATTTTTTCTTCTTCTTGCAATTGCAGGAATATGTTCCTTGCCATGAAAGTGTTGCTTCGAAGTTGAACTGGGAGACAGAGCAGCTTGGCTACCCTCAAGTTCAAGAAATTGCGCGATGAAAACAAAAGGGATTTGCAGGCATAGAAATGTGCATTAGGAATTGAAAATACCAAACTGGAAGAAGCTAACATGAATGAAATTCTTGATTTTTGTTGTGTGGAGGGATACCTTTTTTCTTTTGTAAATCAAACTAGAAATGACAAACAACATATGTCCCTAGTCCCTTCACAAGGAAATCTCCTTATTTACTACTATAAGATGTAAGTACTAAGATGCATATGAACTTCCCTTTTAATGTTAACTTACCAAGCTTTACTTTTTCTCCTCTTGTATTTCTTGTTCTTTATGAAATATTATATTTTCCTCCTTTCGGTGCGACTCTTTCTCAAATTGTCTCCGTGTGGCCTATAGACTAGGTTTCCTACATCACATCTCTTATCAGATTCTGTTGATTACATGATACTTCGTGCACCAAACTATGCTTTTAAATTTGAAATAAAAGTTGGTAACAACTTTTGTCATTGCACTCATTGGTGGCATAACATGATTGCTCAAATGGTAAAATGTCATTTCTGTACTTCCCTTTTTGACTAGGGATGGTTTGATATAATTTATTCCTTTGTACACATTCACATTATAAGGTCAACAAGATTGTTAACTAATCAAATAAGTTCATTTTTTCATGTCCTTTTCTATTTTCTTTGTCTAGTATCTATACTGCATTGACAATGATACATATCTAGGACCAACTAATAAATTGAAGTATATTAAACTGTCTTAAAAGGAAAATTAACAAAAGTTTTATGAAGTATAATTGGTGATGAGGGTCCATTAGGGCCACACACAAAGCACATTCTACGAGTTTATCTGAAATCAATAGCTTAGACTCAATTATGTATGTCTCAAAAAATTTACCAATAACAAATTTCGAATATAGTAAATCAAAAGTAAAAAAAAACACTAAAGTACTACCTGAACTATCGACTATTATTCATCAAAACGCCTTTCAAATATCAATTATTCCCTTATCCTACCTGAACGATGGTGAGATTTCTGGTAGAAGAACTCACACACCTAATAGTTCAAGTTTTGAAACTCAAATTGACTTGTAGTAGAATCTCGAATTTGAATCGCGTAAAATTTAAATTATGAATTCGACTCGTCGAGGGACCATGTCCTCTAACAGAAGCACATGTTTCTAACTAGTATTCAAGATTGATGTTTGCTGTTAAGGTTTCAACTATTAACACAAAGTTATGATCCACTATACCACTACAAACGACAGGTAACAGAAAGGGCCCCTTTGCTTCTTGTTCCGGGGAACAATAAGATGAGGTCGGGTCCCGTCGCGAACGAATGAGGGGTTGACAAGTGTCATGTAAAGAAAATCGTGCGAATGGGAGATCGACACATGTCGTATAGAAGGGAAAAACATGACTTCAAAATATGTGGATTCAAAATTAGTATAATTTTATCACATACACACATTTTTTATTGAGTAAAATTACATAAATCACATAGTTTTAGTATGAAATTACAATCTATCCCTAATGAGTTTCTAGTTACAATAATCCCTAAAAAATTTTAAAAAAACGAATACAAGAACTGAAGCTTGCATACATTAATATATTGCTTGGATACATAATATGTAGCTCAAATACATTAAATACTGGCTCGGATACATTAATATGTAGCTAGGATACATTAAAAACACTAGCTTGGATACTTAATATGTAGCTCAGATACATTAAATACTGGCTCAAATACATTAATATATAGCTCAGATACATTGATTAAATAAGGGATTTTGGAGATTTTTAAAGTAATAGGAGATCATAAAAATAAGTGAAACAAAAGGTGTGTATATCTGCAATTTATTCATTTTTAGTGATTTTGGCAAATGTATATAACTAATGATACGATCTTTTTTAATTTAAGGTACTTTCTTGATATTTCTAGTTAAATCTATTTTCTCGTAGTTCTTATAAAATCTATCAACTAGAGTTTATTAAATATTTGACGAAAATCAAAAGTGCTCAGTTTTCATAAAACATAGAGGATCAAAACTATTCTTGTCGTTTAGTCGTTGAGAAAAAAAATAATAAATATAATTAAAATTACTGATCGTGTTCTAGATAGATCCGCCTCGAACGAAAACTATGTCTAACTAGATGCATAAGGAAGTAAAGAAGAGCATGTGGACTAGTTGATTATTCTAGACAAAATGATAGCCCTCATGTTGGTCCCAAATTTCACTTCATATCATGTATTTGTGAACCACACTTGGTAATGCTTAACTGGCTATAGTTGGAGGAATATGTATAAGGTGCCAAAAAGGAGTTGAAGAGTCAATTTATATGTTTGTTATTTTTGGTTTGGGCTTTAATTATGAAAAGTTTACAAGGGAATGTACTCTTGAAATGATGTTGAAACATAAGGAAAAGTTGAAAAAAATAAAAAAGTATCCACTTCAAATATCAATGGGTAATGGTGTTGTGTGAAAACTTCCTCTTTCGGGATAACGATTTAGAGAAATGATTATTTTTAAAATAAATGAAGAAGTTACGTCAATCAAAGAATATGTCCACAACTTCTAAACTTACTATGGGTTTCCTTATTTCCAAGATTCAAAATCAAGACGAGTAAAATTAAAAAATAATTACTTTTTAATTTGTGAAAATTGAAAAATGAAAAGTCGATTTTTGACGTGATGTTAAAGGTTGGAGGGGAAAAAAGTACCCATTTCCAACATTAATAGGTAGTGTTGTTCTTATTAAGGACGGTCAAAATATTTAGAGTGTTATTTTTATGTTCGAGGTTTACAGATAAAAACGGAAAAATTTATTTCATTACACCCTTTGATGGCCAGTAAACTTGTTACACGTCCCTATTAATTTAACCATTGATTTGTTTCAGAAGTGGATGTTATTTTTTCACTCCTTGTTTCAAATTACTTGTCATGTTTTACTTTTCAAGAAACAAACTATATGCATCAACGGGTAGCGTTTTTATACAAAGGAATGGCCAAAAACTATCTAGAGTGTTATTTCTACGTTCGATTTCAAGATAAGGACGTCCAACTACACCGTTTGATGATCAGAGAGCCTGTTACACGTCCCCGTTTCAAATTATTTAATTATCATGTTTACTTTTCAATAGTAAAGAGCGGAGAATCCGCCTCACTATGTCCTTTGATGGTCAGAGAGCCTGTAACACACGTCCATTGATTTATCTCAAAAGTGCATGTTATTCTCTTGCTTTCCTTTGTCAAATAACTTGTCGTTATTTATTTTTCAAGAGTCACAAACAATATAAATATTGATGAACATTTTGATATGTATTTTTTCATTATACTGATAGAAGAAAAAAAAAATTTTACTCATGATAATATCCATTTAATTATCAAATATTTTAATTTTATAATACAAAGCTAATCTAATTTAATTTCACTTCAAATATTAATCAAATCGACTCTAAAAAATAAAACATGACAAATAACAGGCTAAGTGTGCCAATTTTACAAAAAAAAGTTTAATTTGGGGAAGCAATAATAATTATTATTACATATATAACAACTAAAATAGACCGCTTATATTCATGTAAAATAGTAGAAAAATTGTACTTCCATTTTCTTTTTATAGACAAACATAAAATTCTTCAGAGGGACACAATCATTTGAAATTATACTTTGGATAAGTTGGTGAACTGAACAATTATTTTTGGTGCAACACATCTCTGTTCAAATTGATTTGACTTGGCTATTATTTTTCGATTCGAAATATTTAAATTTTAAATTCATAATTTCAGAAGCGAGAGCATTCATAACCTTTCAAAAGTTAAATCGTTAAAATTTAAATCTTAAATTCAGATCGAACTTTATTTTACGAAGAAAAAAAATGGTAGCTAAATTAATGATAAAAAGGGAATAAAGAAAATACTAGAAGGATAAATTTTGCCTGCCATAACAATTAATAATAATTCCTCAACAGAAAAAATAAAACTTTAAATAGCTGGCATATATAACTTCTGTTCCCCATTTAGCTTTCTGAAACTTTTTTTTTTTGTGATTTTTTTGATAATCAAAATGCCTATAATGTTTAGGTTGAAATCTTTTTGACATTTTTGAAGAAAAAAAAATGTGTTTTATTAAAGATTAGAATGATCTTACATTATTTAAAGTTTAGCCCCATCTTATAATCATTTCAGATATACAAATTTGAAGTTAATAAAATTTAAATTGTTGAAGGTCTTAAATTAACATTTATTAAAATCTGACTTCATATTTGAGATTCTTTTGTATTTAAGTTTTCCTTCTTATTTGAGATTTAAAGTTTGTATTTAAGCTTTGGCAAAGCTTAACTTATAAAATTTGAATGGTGCCTTATCAAATTTCAGATATTTAGTGAATAATCATTTATATTAATTATTATTGTTGCAACATATGAACCTTTAAATTGTGGTTTAAAGATATTTTTTGAACAAACAGAATATTACGCGATCGTAATGATTTATCTGTAGTCTAATATAGTCCAAAAGGTAATTTTTCAAATATTATATTTGTACAAGGGAAAAGGGTCTGATATACCCCTCAACTTTGTCATCTGGAGCTGATATACTCATCGTTATAAAAGTGGCTCATATATGCCCTTACTGTTATACAAGCAGCTCACATGTACCCCTGTCGTTACAAAATGGCTCACATATACCCTTCATTTAACGGATGTGAAAAAATTAGTTGTAAAAAAAATGATTTATGGGTATGTATGAGTCTTCTATAAAAGTTCAAGGTATATTTTAATTTTTTTCATACATAAATTAGTTTTTGACTTCTTTTATTATAATTATTGAGTTTCTTATTCTTATTTTGTTTTTTTCTTTCATTCCTTAGTTTAAAGAGAAAAAAAATTAAACAATTTTTTTTGTGTGTATTGTAATTTAATTTCGTATTCGAAGAAAAAATTTGATCATCTACAATAAGTTTTACAAAAATATTAGTGAAACATAAATAAATTTGATTATCAAAATAATAAATATAAATTAGACATTCAAACAAAAAAAAGTAAAAAAAAATGTTTGAGGAGGATTAAATTTACTCTATGAGATTATATTAATTAGAAAAAAATAATAAAAATTTAGATTAAAATTATTTTTTTTCCATTTCCGTTAGAGGAAAAGGGTATATGTGAGCCATTTCTTTACAAGCAGGGGTATGTATGAGCCACTTTCATAACAAGGGGTATATCAACTCTAAATGACAAAGTTGAGGGGATATATCAGACTCTTTTCCCTTTGTACAATTTTTTAAGAAATATAGGAAAATTTTAAATGATGGCCTAAATTTGCATTAATCAGTGGCTACCTGGTGTCATTTCAGCCCAATTTAACAAGGCCTAAAATAAGTCCACTAAATTTCAGCCCAATTGGGCCAATTTCTTATCTTAGACGTCGAAAATGTTAGGTCGTTCATTTTATTGATTTGACTTTACTTAACTTACGATCCAATGATAGAGAGGCTGGGGCCGCTTGAGGTTTACTTAGTAGACAACGAGCAAACTGCAATACAGAACTTGAACTTGAAGAAATGTGCCTCTATCACGAAAACCTAACCCCTTTTATAGGTTGTCAAACTCAATCCGAGTTTGTTTCTTCAACCATTACCAAACTAATGTACCTAATTTAGAAACCCCAACAACTCTATTTACATGAAGGAGGAGGAGAGCTAGCATGTCGATTACATTACTTCAAAAAATTCGTATATAAAATTCATAAATTCTGAGTAACCTTTCTCAATAATAACTAGGTTTTCTGTGGAACTAACGTTGATATTGTGTTATATTATATGTTCTCTATGACAGTATTTCGTTATAACGTCCAAAAGAGTATTCAGATAAACGACGAAAGGAATCAATCAAAGTTGGCTAAATATTTGAGAATCCAAATATTGGCAAATGTGAAAACAAAAAAGTTTGAAATCATTGATATTGAGAAACTCCAAAAACAGTTTTATTAGTGTTTAAACTTTTGATGGAACATTTTGAGATGTTGCATCTTCACTAGGCTTACCTGATTTTGAATTACACTGAGATTTCCTCCTGAAAAATATACTCCATCTCCTCTTTGTTTTCACCATCTTTTGGAACTCTTCCTTCATGTTGTTACACTCTTTTTCAAGCTCGGAAACACGTTCCCTCATGTCCTCAACGCTCCTTCCTCTGCCTCGTGTACCATTGTCCCCGTGTTGTCCAATTGCTCCGCTAACATTTTGGGAGTTCTCAAGGTTTTCCGACACAAAGAACCATCCTGAGATTGATGTACGTAGACGTAGCTGTTCAAAAAACAGTACTTGAACAATCACCCTTAGGGGAAGCCTCTCGTTTTGAGCAGCGTGGGTGCTGGCCTCTAACGACAGCTTCTGGCAGTTCATTAGCCTGCAGATTTGCTCTCTTTCAATGTCTGTAAGCCAAGGATGTGCCTACATTTCAAACGTTTATATTCAAGTCGTTAACAGACTACAAAGGAACGTCAGACAAACAAACTGAAACGAAGGGAGTAGATCATGTTAGGATTCTGAAGTATCAAAACAGAACATACATACCTTCAAATATATATCGATTGCACGATAGATACCATCGGAGACAGGCCTGGCATATTCAGGGATAGCAGAAGCAAGAGTCTGAAATTTTGGAAACTTGAAATTAACATCAGGCGCGACTTCAGCAAGATACGAGTCCACGAGATTAGCCACTCTTGTTATTGAAGCCAAAGACTGAGTACCTTCAATCAACTGATTCTCTTCCATTATACATGGAGATACTGCAGCTGAAGCCTGATCTATTAACAAGAAATGATCTAGAATACGCTGAAAACAGTCGATATCATATAAAGTCTCAACTGTGTAACCGATATTTGGTATCAACAGATCATCAAGTATAGCCTGATCTAACTGCAACCCGACTCTTCCTTCCAAATTTACTCGACAAGATGGACTAGCCTGCAACATCATAGCAGTACGTAACAGCCTGAGGAGAAATCTAGTCTCCGTTACACCTTTCTGTTTTGGTAACAACTCAACAATCTCTTCTAAAAGCGCCCTTTGATCAGCCTCAGACGGAGTAGAACCTGATTTAGCATGAGTAACGTCCTTAAAGCTCGATTGCCTATTCATTAAAGGAACATATTTCTTTGCATAAAACACGAGTGCACCCGATATGTTCCCAGCCCTCATTCCTCCAGCTTCAACAGCCTGAATCAAACGTTTATACAAAGGTAAGCTGAGGAATGACACATCCTCGTACCACCAATCATCAGTCATCATCGGTTGTGTCTTACTCCCCGTGCTTATACCATTCCATACATCACCACTATCGTTACCATTCTCCATCACAGGCCAATTAACCAACTTAGAATCACTACAAGCTTTCATCGCTAATGAATTTATGCATCGCGACACAATGTGAAGCTCTTCAGCATATGACAACACTTCTTCACAAGTTTCTAATGCTTTGATTGTATCTGTCCAATTACTAAAAACATCATTAAGGAATGACTCGGTTTGTGATACGAGGTTTTCTTCACCATATTCATCTGTCATTTGCAAATACTCAGATGCACATCGAAGTGCAACTACATTTAGAGGAGTAAGTTCAAATCTAACACCATAACAGAACTTTGCTACTAACTCAAATGCTTTAGCTCCACCAGGTATCTCACTAAGCTGAATAACACATAACGATATATCATCGTCTTTTCTTGATTCATTCATCAGCTTTTCTAGTAGTCCACTTCTTGATAGCAAAGGGAACTGCAACACAAGTATATATCATCTTACATCTTCTATCTGCTCTTCTTTAAAATGCTAAAACGGAGAGCAGTGGGGGAGACAGGATTTTCATCCAGGAACTTCAACATATATAAACAAGTGTCATTTACCGCAGAAAGGGGTTGGAATAAACCCCCTTCCGCGCACTTCTTTGAAGTAAAGTCAACAATAGGATGGTCTAGATTTTGTTCTTTGAAGCTATATTGCTCTGACTCTTCCAAAATGCCAGTGCAATCATGTCAGATCCTCCAAAAAGTAATACATTTTTTTGGACGATTTGACAAATGTTCAACAACATTTTTGCAGAGTCTTAAGCAACAAAGCCCCACAATCATAGAAAAAAATAGAAATATTCTAAACTTGTATATATGAATGTATGATTAAAAAAATACTTAAATAAATATTGAATTGAACCTTAGATTTAAAAATTTATAATAAGGTAGATAAAATACCTTATGTAGATAAAATGACATTTCTCCAATTTCAATTGTAATGTCACTTGGAAGTCCTGACTTACATCGCCTGAACAAAGTTCAAAATAAAATCACTATTGAAGATAAGTAAAAACATAAACAAAACCAAAATGAGGAGCGCGATGCACGATGCAAGTATCAATAACTGTTTTCACGATTAAACTCGTGACCTAAATGTCATATGAAAACATCTTATGACAACTGACATAGATGTTTTGAGGTCAAAAAATTATTAATTCATTCCCAATGCCATGTCCCATGTTATGCAACATTATGAAAATAAAGTATTTTTTAACTCTAGTACTCTAAATTCTTCACATAAAATGAGACGGAAAGAATCATTACACCCTATAGATATAAGCTCATTTACAACACCAGCGATAATACTTCTCTTAAAATTTACTCGTAAAATGGGAATTGATTTCTCATATGATCAGTCAAAATTGTAGTTATTCAGAAAAATAACAACCATCCACTGAGCAACCATCTGAGAAATCAAATTCTATAAAGTCGAAAAACGTCGCAAGAACAAAATTATACAAATAAAAAAGAATTACCAAGCTTGGCCTTCACAACAAAAGGCTTCAGATTTAGAACCAAGCTTCAAAAGAGCCATTAATTTAATCCTTTTCTGCTAAGAATATAATTACACTAATTATAAGTCATATATAGAAAGAGTACTACTTAGGTTTCCTTGTATTAAAAAAGAAACACAAAAAATAACTCTAGAATTATATATATATATATATAAGGAAAAAAGAATTTTTAGTATTTACTGTAGTTGTTTTTAAGTAACTATGAAGTTTTATCCTTTTTATTTTATTTATTTTTAATATTTTAATTTTTTAATTTTTTTTATTTCATCATAATTTTAAGTGAGTACCTAGTCTAAAGGGAATTTTTTTTTTTGGTTGCAACTGTCCTCCTACTCCCCCATAATACTCGCTCAGTGTGGATTTAGTCTACTAAATTAGCTATTTTGGGAACCTGTTCGATCCGTCCAAAATTTAATAGGTCGGATTATGATTTGTATCTCGCGCATTAGATTAGTGTAGCTCGCATATCACATTAATATATTTTGCGCATCAGATTAGTGTATCATGTATAAAATGTACCTCGCGCATCAGATTAGTGTATCTCGCGCATCAAATTAATGTATCTCGCGCATCAAATTAGTGAATTATGTATATAATGTACGTCACACATCAGATTAGTGTATCTCGCACATCAGATTAGTGTATCTCGCACATCAAATTAATGTATCTCGCACATCAGATTAGTGTATCTCGCGCATCAAATTAATGTATCCGCTTTGAGAGATTTTTGTAATTATAAACTTTTAAGGGATAGATTGTAATTTTGCCTTAAAAGTATATGATTTTTGTAATTTGCTTTTTTTAAAAAAAAAAAGTTTTGGGCCTTGATTTCCAAAGTTTGGGCCTCACACAATTTGAGCTAAAAGATGGACCTATTCCATTACCAAAATTGGACCAATTGTCCAACTACATATACATTTTTTCAATATAATTTTATTTTCTCACAATAAATATGCTCCACATATATCTTTTTCATAACTTAAAATAAAATATCTTAACTAATACTTAATTAGTTTTGATGTGATTTGAAATTACAAGGAAATCATGCAGTGGTTGAATAAATCATGTATATGATGTCATTTACACACCAAACATAAATTCTTGATGACAACATCATTAATTATTTTAATTTAGGCCACAACTACTAATTAATAAACAAAGTCTTCATTCTACTCATTTTCTTTATATAATTTTTTATTTTGCATAACATGGGTCCATTCCACGTATTCTATACGTGTGTATATATATATTGCATTTTCCACCATTTTGATTCGTTTTTTTATTTTATTTTTGTAATTTTGCTTATAGAGAAAAAACTCAAATTAGTCTCACTTTTCTAAAAAAATATATATATCAATTCTAAATAATAAAGTTAAAAAGTATATCAGACTATTATTCTTATTAAAGAATAAGAATATTATTGGTTCAATATCGAAATATAAATGACTATTTAGAGCTTTTCTTTTTCTTTTTGTTTGTACTAATTCTTTTTCAACAAATTAGAACTAGACAAACATGACTTACTAGCTCAAAGTCTCTCTTAAACATCAATATCTAACTATCATCATCAACATTTAAAACTCTAATTACAAATTGATCTTCTTGTCTTACTCTAAAAAGAAAAGGTTTGCTCCTATACATATAAAAATGATTTTTTACACAATTATACTATGGTATAACTTGTAAGTATATATAAAATAAAAGGAACCCTATAATAAACCCTAAAAAGAATACAATACAAGTTTATTGATATTCTTGATCTACCATCCAACAGTACGAAGGGATGAATACGAGATCCTTTCACTCTTAAATTAGAGATAATAAGTTCATATGACTTGATTATAAAATAATTATACCAGTATATTTCAAATGCGGTAAATTTCTAGCGTCTCTAATTTGTGGATGGTGGGGGGGGGGGGGTGTACCAAGACGACAGAGATTCTGATAGGAGTTGCAGTCGTTGGACTAACTAAAAACAAGTGGCCAAAGAGGTTTACATCAACATACTCACCAACTACCCAACATTTCACAACAAGTGCTTCTTACTTTTGTCAAATACTAATAAGTAATATATGGGCCAATGTCTCCCTCTCTAATACCTTTATGACATTGACACTTTCCTTCACGCTCAATTAGAGGTGTCAAATAGACGGATTCTAAAAGTGGGATAAGTTAGTAAATGGATGAATCAAGGAAAAAATGACAAATTTATTCGAATTATTGTAAACGGTATGTATATACCTTTCAACATATCTTTGTGACGTTGGTGTTCCTGTCATCCAAAAACTAGAGCATATATATCCTTCATTCTAACGGAGACTAAATAGGAACACATGACGACACAATCTTATCCATCGATCCAATATTTAATAAATGTCGGGGCCAGTGGATAAGATTATGACACCCGTGTATGACCATTAGGAGAAAGGGTATATGTGCTCTAGTTTTTGAAAGGCAAGGACGCCATACTCAAAAATATGACGGATGATATATGCATATCATTTACGATAGTTCGAAAAATATATTTGTCCTTTTTTTCCATGAATCAATTACTAGCTTGTTTAAAAGTTACTTAGGTCAAATGATTTCAAAGGTGAATCATAACATCAAAATTTAATTTCTTTGTTTGTTGTTATATGATTATAAATACCTAAAATTTAATTTCTTTGTTTGTTGTTATATGAGTATAAATACCTAATATTTTTTTCTTCTTTATTTTATATATATATATATATATAAACATTATCAAAGTAAAAATATTCAAAATATTTTTTCAGTTTGAGAAGATTTTTCATGGATTAATTGAGGTTGTGTCAAGTTAATATTTTAGATAATTTGAATTAAGGTTATCAAAATGCATCGATCCGCTTAAACTTGTTTGGGTTGAGTAAATCATATTTTCATGAGCTAATTATTAATCCGCTCAAAGTATATTTTAATTATATTTTGATAGATTAAATTTGTCACTCCTATACTTGATAAATGTATTTGTCAATTAATGATCATTATTTAGTTTCAATATAAAATAGAGAATTTGAAACCATCAAAGAATTAAATAATCAGTTTGAGAAGTATTTCAAGTGAAATAATGAATTTCACTCATGAAAATTCAGTATTATTTTTTAAGTGTAATTACGTCCAAACAATGTAACGTTTCACTCTTAAATTTCCCTTTTAACGTTAATACGTTTTTTCCCTTCGAATTTCATTCCAAATCAATATTCAAAATGTCTTTGTGAGCTATTATACTATAGTAAAATTTACTTTAGAATTTATATATATAGTGCTGATTAAAGCTTTTGCATGTTTTTTTTCCAAGTGGCATTGATTTATTTGATAGTATTATTCTAGAGGAATTTTGTTTATAATTTGACCAGAGTACAATGTGCCTTTTTCATAGTTGGAATTTTTTATTCTCCTTACAAAAGTAGTAGAAATAAATTAAAAATTCATAAATTAAAATTTTGAATTCATTTTTATATCGTAATATTTCAAATTTGATCTCTTAAAATGAAACCTTCTTTAATTTTAAAAAATGTTCTTATCTTAAAATTAAATCTTTAATATAAATTTAACTTAATTGAGCTTTAATATAATTGAAATCATGGTGTCTTTTTTTCATTGTGACAATTATTGTATTAGACTTTGAGAAAGCTAAAGAAGAGAACATTTTTGACTTTTTTTGTTACTTTTAAGGACAAGATGTGAGTAATATATGTCAATAAATTCATCTTTGAAATGATTTTGCTTCTTCTAGTACTAATTTTTTTTTATTTCTTTTGTCTCATTATGTCTCTCATGAAATTTCATCTAAAAGTAATGCCTTATAGTAATGTAATTTTGCCTTTTATTTTATTTTATTATAAGTTCAAAAGACACATGCTTAATTTACTTTTCAAATGAAACAAAAAAATTATTAAGCATTTTATTTGATTAGGTTTTTGGTACAATAATAAGATAATTTAGTCTTTGTTTATGCTTGGATTGGTATGAGAGAAATAGAGGTAATCATTTTTTTTACTTCCAATAATGTATCAATTTAAAATCTTCCATAATACTTACTAAGTTTATATACTAATAATTCAAATATATAAAATATATTACTTTTCAAAAAAAAATTGAAAATTTTCATAATTTTCATTCTAAATACCACACAAATTTTAAAAGCAACTATTTATATTCATAACAAGACATAACTTCAATTTTCGATTCAGAAACAAATGAGTACTATTTTTGTTTAAATTTTACAATTTTTACGTTCAAACGTCTGCTTAACGTCCATTATATAAAGAAAAAAGGAAACAAACAAAACTAATTTGCTGGTCCCATTATCATATTAATGTTGTGAGCCAACAAAAACCAACTAGTACTTGCACTAAAGTCTTTGAGAAATTAATTAAGTAGGTTTAATAGAAAAACTTTGCCATTATGACACCCCACAAAATATACATAAATTTTCTTTTGTACATAAAATCCAAATTAAACCTTGCATTAATATGCAAGTAAGTGGTTGTTTAAACTTTTTTCCTTTTGTACTGCTTTTATTTAATTTAATTAATTACATTCTCAGTAACAAAGGTATATATGTTTTTTTCTCCAATCATGAAGTTTGGATTTATATATATTAAGGCTGAAATAAAGCAATAACTAATTTAATTTATAAATTATGATTAAAGGGACAAATATGTATAGACCCCACATTACAACATGCAATGCTAGAGGTAGATTAAGGCAGGTTCCATTAGGTTTATATAATTAAATCTTTTTCTTTCGATTCGAATATAATATCTACGAAAAAATTAAATACACATACATACAATAAGATTGTTGTCTTTCGAATGATTAAATTTAAATTCACCTATTCAATATTCTGAATCTGCCCCTTGATATCAGAAGGAGTAAATTGAAGTCACGTTCGAAAATTATTCAATAATGTTTGGAGGATCAAAAACCCTAAGTTTTACGTTTTTTGTTCTCCATATACACAAATATATATATTTTTTCTTATGGATTGAACTTAATTCTAAAAAAAGAAAAGAAAATGATATACTATAACTAATTAACACAAATTTAGTGATGCTTTGATGTTATTGTACGTTTATAGTTGCTTAATTAATATGTATTAGACCCTACAACACAACATGCAAATTAAATATCCAAAACTTTAATTAGAATTACAAAATGCAAGTTGATCAAAGTGAACGTACATGTATAGACCCTACTATATGCATGGTATGCTTATTAGAGCAGGTTGAGTGGTTTTCATGTAAATCGATTGCTTTCGATTCGAATTATATATATATCTATGTGTACATAAAATTATTAAAACACACAAATATAACAAAATCATATACTATTCAAATTCACAAATTCTGAACTTGCCTCTTCAAATATTAAGAGTTTATGTAACAATTTAACGTCTTTGATTATATTGAGGCTTTTGTTGATTTCCACACAACTAATAAAAATAATGAAACACAATGATATAATATGTGTGAGGTTTATCTCAAATATCTTTATCGAAAATTTAATATTTTTTTGTATATAGTAAATAATGAACTTTTTTAGTAAAAATT